GGCCTGGCGGGTTTTCGTGAGGCGAGGGCTAGCTAGCCAATCAGGATGCAGGGTTCGCGCACAGATGCCCCCTCCGGGGCCATACGCGCAGCGGTTCATACGGAGAGGAACGTCTAGATGTCTGCGCTGCGAGCAAGGTCCTTAATAACTAGTTAGGGCCTGAGGGCATCTCTGGTGGACCTATCAGTGGGAAGCAGACGCTTAGCATTGAGTCAGATATCCCTCTGGATCCTATTGTTGAGAAAGTAGAGGACTGCAAAGACAATAGGATAGATGAGAGTGCTAACAAAGCGTTACAGCAGACGCAAGCCACGTCTAAGCACCTTTCTATATCAGCTCACAACATGCAACAGACAAGCTTACCTAAGCTGTTCTATCCTGTAGAGCAAGAGTAGATTAAGATAAATAGTCTTTTAGTTAGTTGCGTGGTTATTTACAAACAGTTCTAGAGTTGTGCAATCAGCCCTTGTGCTTGCTGTACAGCCGTTGCTAACCTTTGTAGTAGTCTGGCCAAAGGCCAATAAAGGATATCTACTTCCTAACAACTTTTGCTAAAAAGCATGCACAAGTTAACTAGACGTCTAATTAACTGCGTAGATAATATATATCCAGCTTAAGCCAAGCCGGCTAAGCTAATGTAACCGGCTAGCTCTAGCTCTTCTTTAGCTTTAGAGTCTAGACCGTTACAACCTTTGCTATTAGATATCTACGCAACGCAACATTGCGTATAAATTCTAAAGAGTGCAGATTATTTGTAGCACTTTGTTGCGCGATGCCAGCGCGCTAGATAGTAGTATTCTGTAGAGAGTATACCAACCTAGTTCTCTTTTGTAAAAAGGAATCGGGTTGGGTCGCGTGCAGGGGTCTCACTAGCGCCAAAAGGAATCGGGTTGACTCAACCCGGTTACTGATTAGTAGTGAGCTTACCTAGTAACTTCTAATTAGTGACGCCGCCTAATAGGTCCCTGCTTAATTGTACAGGTCTAATCTTACTCCAGCTCGCTCTATCTGACACTAACATAAACACTGCCTATTTAACACAATAACGCGGCTTGGGCTAGTGCAGGCTCTAAGGCTTCTTAGCTAATCAGGAGTTGTCAGGTCTTGCTCAGCTCATCTAGGGACTCCTGATTGGTCATGCCGCCCGATAGGTCCCTGCTCGATTGTACAGATCCGACCTCACTCCAGCTCGCTCTAGGTATCTGACAATATTATTCTAGAGCAAAGCAGACTAGGAATACTTGCGAGCAGATAGGATGCTTTAAGATTAAAATAACGCACGTGCAGGCACAGCACACCTACCTAAACAAGGGTAACAGAGTACATTATTGTGCAATATACTGTGCACGCTGAGCAGACTAGTGCCTGAGAGTGAAGGTCACATTTTAGGGTTACATCTTATGGGACTTGCTACATCATCCTGCAAAACCATCGATGGTATTAAGGTAGTTCGCCAAGAGGGTCGGCCCGTACGCCTATTGTGACGGTTATTGAAAGCTTTTGGTAAACTGCATTGATTATTGAAGGCTGGTCTATAGGCTGTCCTTGTACCAGCTCGCGTATGACCTTTTCGTAGCAGGGGTCCCGGAGATCCATATCTCACACACAAAAGTAGCTATTCGCACGATTAACTCGCATCTTCCACTTATTGCTAACAGCATAAATAAAACCATTAACGTACTCTATCACCGAGCCGGTCATATCACCGAACCAGTCACTTAAAATCCCACCAAAAAACACAGAAACCATACCCCTGCATCTCAATAACTACTTAATAGAATCTTCTAAAAACTTCAGAATAGAGCTGCATCTATACTAATAAGACTGTTTGAAAGTCTTAGAGTGCTTAGCCCTATATTGCAGATGTTGTTTAGAAGATACTGAAATACAGGGGTAGCTGCAGGCTATCTCAACATCTATACTAGCTATTAGTCTAAGACTTTTAAATAGTTTTATTAGTATAGATGTAGCTCTATTCTGAAGTTTTTAGAAGATTCTATTAAGTAGTTATTGAGATGCAGGGGTATGGTTTCTGTGTTTTTTGGTGGGATTTTAAGTGACCGGTTCGGTGATATGACTGGCTCGGTGATAGAGTACGTTACACGTATCCTCATGGATTTTCCACAGTCATATCTTGAAATGCTTTCAGTGTGACAAATGACGCGGTGAGATCACCAACTTTCCACCTCATTAACTTCGCGGTCAATTATGTTATAAGTAATCAAGCTAGGTCCTGCAGATTTGCCAAGTTCCAGAACAATCCCCGCTTAGCCAGAAGCTCTTCGGGGCTGCCCATCTCAGCCAAAGTCCCCTTGTCCATGACCCCAACCAGGTCCGCGTTCATAACCGTTTTGAGGCGGTGAGCGACCATGACCGTCGTCCGTCGTCTGCGGAGAGCATCGATCGCCCGCTGCACTACAGCCTCAGACTCGCTGTCTAACGCCGAAGTGGCTTCATCAAGTAATAGAATCTGGGGATCACGCAACAACGCGCGTGCCAAGGCGAGGCGTTGCTTCTGCCCGCCGCTAAGCATCCGTCCACTGGTTCCTAGAAACGTCGACAGCCCTTCACTGCATATATGACGGCGTCTCAGTCAGATAGTCTATTAGAATAGAACAAGGATGCCGACTTACGGGAGCGATTGTACAAAGTCAATGAGATTTGTCTGCCGACATACGTCTAGAATTCTAGCATCGTCCACCTCTTCGTCAACGAGACCCACGGCAATGTTTTCCCTCAGAGACCCGGAAAACATGATCGGTTCCTGACTGACGAGGGCGATGGCCGATCGATAACGTTGGATATCCATATCGCGGATGTCGGTCCCACCGACGGTGATTTGACCTTGTTCCAGCTGGTAGAATCGAGCGAGCAGCGAAAGACAGGTACTCTTCCCACTTCCACTTTGTCCCACGAGCGCGAGCGTTCGACCGGCAGGGACGCGTATGGTGAAATCGTTAAGGGCATTCTGTGTTGGTCTGGCAGGATACGCAAACGAGACTTTTCGGAAGTCTATGTGACACTCCTCGTAGCTTTTGGGCAAGCCATTTCCTGGGATTTGAGTTTTGTTCGGGCTCGGGTCATGCTCGGCATGGTGCAGGTTGATGATTGCTTCGAGCTCTTGTGCACTGTGAGCCGCCTTTCCCATATCTGGTGCAAAGTTGAAGACCGATCCGGCGATTTGCGCCCCGGAGACCAGACTGATAATGCATACGTAGACTTGAAAGTCGGTGTATTCACCGCTGGCAATGAGATTCCCACCATACCAGAATGCCAAAGCTGCGCAGAGGTATACAACAGACTGAGAAGCGGCATAAAGAGCAGAAGAGGAAAGGATAGGGCGCAAGGAGTCAGCGGCCTGCGCGGTGAGAAAGTTGTTGTAAAATGTCGTTGCCTGTGTCTCCATGCCCAACGAAGCAACGGCACGCACTGATCGGACAAGCTCTCCAGCATATAATGCTGCACGGAAGCCACTCTGCCTTGATCTGGCGTCAAATGCCGCCAAGACTTGCAGCCTGAGCCAGCCACATGCGACGACTATCGGAACAGTAGCTGTGCACACGAGAGCCAGCTTCCAGCCAATGACCATTGAAAGCACAATCCCCCCAACGATACTGGCCATGAACGTCATGATGCCGCCGATGACTGGACCACCCATGCCTGCAAGATCGTCAATACCTTTGGACAAAGCACCCGCGAGCGCGCTTGGTGAACTTTCCACCCTTTCGAAAAAAGCTACATCCTGCTGCATGATCCGTTCACAACATGTTTCTCGAACCCTTTGGCATAGATTCTGTGTTGCTCTGGACAGCGTTACGCAAACGATCATCCAGAAGATCAGCCCGGCGCAAGCGAGAAGCAGAAAAAGACCACAATAGAGGTTGGTGAGATGTCGAAGCTCTCCATATCGTTCTCGAGGCAGTCCGAGGGTGGTTATCAGCTCTGCGGTTAATATTGATTGTCTGGTGAAAACATCAGTATCTACCGTTTTTATGTTTAATTGTGTAAGAACATACGCAGGTATGAGTAAGCCACCGAGCAGGGCACATGCAAGCCCAACGAGCAGCATTTTCCAATCTCCTTGGCTCATCGCAAGCATGAACGAAATTGATCTCGTCTTGCTTGCTTTACTTGACTCGTCAGGGTCCACCTCTGACTCAAGGAGCATGAGCGATGGACCTTTGATGTTTTCGTCGTGTGTCTCTTGACGGGTCGGCACCTCTGTCGAGTCTATTTTTTCATTAGTGAGTAGCGATAGAGGCATATCAGAGCTCTGTTCCTTGATCTGCTGTTGTTCGATTAAATTTGCATATAATCCATTGCGAGACATGAGCTCAGCATGTGTCCCTTGGTCGACAACGCTTCCCTCGGCCATTACCACGATATGGTCGGCGTTAGTAATTGTTGACAGCCTGTGTGCAATGACGATGGTCGTGCGTTGCTCCGTTGCAGCATCTATGGCGGCCTGAACGGCCTTTTCAGAGAACGAATCCAGCGCAGAGGTTGCCTCATCGAAAAGGAGTATCGTGGGATCCCGAACCAAGGCACGAGCAATTGCCAGCCGCTGTCTTTGGCCGCCGGAAAATTGTAAACCTCGCTCACCTACTCGTGTCTGGTATCCTTCTGGTAAAGTTTCGATGAACTCGTGCGCCTTAGCCTTTTGAGCGGCTTCCACAGCCTTGCGGTGTAGCAGGTCCCCGGTAGTAGAGCAGCCGTAGCAGATGTTCTCCATAATCGTCGCGTCAAAAAGAATAAGGTCTTGGTCCACCAAACCGATCTGTTGACGTAGCCATTTCAAATTAAGCGTTTGAATGTCTCGGCCATCGAGCATGAGGATCCCATTGGTAGGTTCGTAAAATCTTTCTAGCAAGCCAAAGACACTGCTCTTGCCACCTCCTGAAGGGCCAACTATCGCTGTTTTCTTACCCTCTGGGATAGTCATACAGACATCTTTGAGGACCTTGACTTGGTCTCGAGAGGGGTAGATGAGATCGACGTGTTCTAGTACAATCTCACCACGCACAAATCTCGGCTTGTCACCTTTGTCCCCAAGAGGATCCTGAGGAGACCGCCGGCCGATGGTATCCAGAAGGGCTGTGGAGATGGCGATTCCCAAAGTCAGCGCCTGGAAAGAGGGCGCGATGCGTATCAGGGCAAACACACCAATGACAACGGCGAGTACCGTCGTCACTATGCTGCCTGACGATACGTCTCCCTGCATCGTGTAGACCGATCCTGCCCAAAAGGCTACTGCGTAGATGAGGCATGGTATGGCGTTCATGGATGCGATCAGCCCGGACGAGATATTCTGACCTCTGCGCTCCTCCAACGCAGCTTGTGTCAGTGCGGCAGAATACCGACGGCTTATGAGTGGTTGCATTCCAAAAGCTAAGACCTGACGGATGGCACCAAAGGCTTCTTCAATCATGCCACCGGCGTGGCTAAACAGCGTGCGAGCTTCCTTTTGATGTCGAACAGCCCGTGCGCCGCCTAGGTATGCCACAAGAAGCATGAGAACAAAGAATGGTGTTAGAATCAGAGCCGTTTTCCAGTACATGACGAACATGACGACAAAGGCAGCACAGAAGGTAGCGACGGCACTCAGCAGAATGGAGATCTTGCTGGTGATCGCCTCTTGCAGAGTCCCCGTATCGGACATGATGCGATTGGAGATCTCGCCAGGATCGATAGTGTCGAAGAAGGCCATGTTTTGACGCATTACAGCGGAAAGGTAGGTGATCCGCAAGGTTCGGGTGATGCGTTCACCACTCCAGAAGAAACCGACGGTGGCCAGAAAGCTAAAGACGAAAAGCGCAACGGCGAGGTAGACATAGTAGACTGCGAAGGTAGCGACTTTGCTCCGCAGCTCGGCTTCGCTCACAGATCCCGCGGTAAAACCCTCGAAGACGGCCACGAGCAGGCCATAAATGACCTTTGGACAGCATGCCAAGGTCAGCACGCGGACGACGACGGGTAGTGTAGTCAGGGTCAAGAGTTGAGCAACGTACCGGCACTAACGGGTTTAACGCGCCTGCGACGAGAGCACATATTGCACCCACGCCAAGCACAACTTTGTCGGTCGTGCTTGCATACAGCTGAATGCTCGTCTGGGCGCCGCTTTCATGCTTGAGGCGGGGGAGTCCATGCAACTGCCGGTCAAGAATAGCTCGTTCGTCACCTCGTACCGGCACGACGCCTTCTCGTTCTCGTTCTGGCGCTAGCGACGATGATGTCATATCGAACTCGAATAATCGCAAGAGAAAACGAAGCTGCTATGATTGTCACAAGAATAAAGGAGGAAAGAGACGTCGTACCTCAGTTTAGAAATGCTGTGAGTGGAAGGCCTACAAGATGTATGCCTAACATGTGACCTTTACCCTCAGGCACTAGTCTGCTTAGCGTGCACGGTATATTGCATAATAATGTACTCCGTACCCATTACCCTTCCTTGCTTAGGTAGGTATGCCGTGCCTGCACGTGCGTTATTTTAATCTTAAAGCATCCTATGTGCTTACAAGTGTTCCTAGTAGTCTGCTTTGCTCTATAATAATGTACAACTGCAACTACGTTCTATCCTATGTCATATGCTCTGCTAAATCCTAGATAAGCATAAGATATAAGCAAGCATAAATCCTAAGCTAAAATAGGAAGGTTGCAATTGCGCTTTACTTTAGTCTAACAGCAAGGCTGTAGAGCTAACAACTTTTAAAGGAAAGGATCACTAGGCAGGTCGCTAAACTAGTAACTTAGCAATTAGCTGTGAGTATATTTACAATTAGAACAAGCCACCCGTTGTTCTGAAAGTGACCAGGGTCAGTCCACAGAAGTGGCGTGTGGAGACCCCTTAGTTTATAACGTAGTGCGGTGGCGTCCTCCACAGGGTTACATAGCCCCAAATCCTTCACTCTAAATACTTCAGGCTCTTCCAATCTTTCAAGCCTGTTTCTTTTAGGGCGCTCTTCACGGGGCTATCGGTTGAAAGCCGGTTTTCCTGTCGTCTTAGGCATTCAGCGTAAATCACTGCTTAAAAAGGCTAGTCAATGCTTACTCCCAACAGTATCTATGCTTTCGTGGAAGATTCGTGCGCAATTGAAGTTGAGCCGGCGTTCGAAAGCCTTGGAGGTGACTCGCTCATAGCCATGGATATCGTTGCTCGTTGCAAGGCTGCAGGGAACGTTCTCACTATAAGAGATGTCTTAGAAAATAAAACCTTCCGGGACATGGCGGCTTTAATCAAGAGAAATTCTCCCAAGGGTGCTCTGGATGGTCTCGAAATGCAGAAAGTCGTTTGGATTGATCACAATTACAATTCGCATTCCGTTGTTCCATTTCAGCATCTCACGATACTCAAGTTAGTATATCAAAGAGATGACCCAAGCTTCACGGTTCCGCATAGCAGGCGTTATGAGGATCTATCTGCGCTCAAAGTACGTGGTTCCAAAGATGCCATGTTGACTGTTGAAGATTCGTAGAGACGTACAGTCGATGCGCGGGGCCCGCATACATTTGAGCAACCTATTAAGTGCCTGTAGCGTCTCGTGACACTCCTACTCTTCCTCCTCCTTTTCATTCCCAGCTTTTTGTTGAAGAGTCATCGGCAGCTCGTCATCGCCTTGAATCCTGCGATCTTTTTTTCATCTGCTCCGCTTGCCCTCCGTTGCATCCTTCGCGCCCGTCCTTCGCGCCCATCCTTCGCGCCCATCCTCCGTGCCCATCCTCCGCGCCCATCCTCCGCGCCCATCCTTCGCGTCCATCCTTCGCGCTCATTTCACCCTACTTGGCGATTCGCCTTGTTGGACTGCACCTGACCGGCTGTCTTCCCCCTGCTTGTCAGAAGCTTTTCTGGGCGTGGGGGATTCTCACACCATACGGAATCACGAGGCGTATGTGTTGGAACAATGGAGGACGCGCTTGGCAAGTCGTGTGATGATAGCGCTGCTTATCGCTGCGGGATAAGGGAAAGTCGAAAAGCTCGTACTGTTAGGTCGCACAACACATTTTTTGGTGGTGTTGCCCAGCCCCTTCTGATATCCCTGGGCCACTGTCGTACGAGACTCGACAGACTGCTATCTTGCGAACTGGACCCCTATCTGCGATAATGGGAACTGTGGAGCAGATGCAGATATCTCTCAGTCAGTGCACATGTCAGACACCAGCCCCAAGATGTTCTGTATTAGCTTGATTGTCCGACTACGTGTCCATCCTAGTACATTGTTTCATTAGGGATCTGAGCAATATGCAGGCTTGGGAATTATCAATCAGATTGAGCCTCACTTACGGCTTTCGGTTAAAAAAGTTCCTAACTCAGTTTAGCTCTTACTGTATCACGCTGATGGAACATGCGTTCCGTCTACTGGTGCGCCTAGACATGACCACGTCCATAATCGCCACAGGTGCCGCTTCGGCTGCTGCGTATGCAAGTCGCTCTGGCATGTTTTACTTTGTACAATTACAAATTCTTAGTATTGAACAGCGTGCTCTTATTTCATTTATTACTCCTGTTTCCAGCGTTTTATTGCCATGGTATTGTAGATCAGATGCGCTCTACCCTACACGATCGAAAACCTAACCTCTCGCCGAATCGTCTCACCGACCTCCAAAACATGCGCACGACTCTTCCGAGAATACACAATGAAATAAGCTACCCAGGCGTTCACACCTCCAGTCACAGACAGAGTGGCTCCTTTCTTCAGAAAGCAGAAGCACTCAGAGACGTGGTCGGCGAGGTCAGGGCGTCTCTCGAACAGCTCTGCACATACGTCTCCAGACTCGTACACTCCGCCGTGCTCCACTGGAATAAACACCATCTCGCACCAATACTGTGCTCCCTGCTCGAATGGATGTGCAAGTTGTTTGACCCGATCCTTTTCATCGAGAGCAAACAGCAAGCCGAGGCCAAAGTAGTCAATGCCATACGTAAACTTCACCGCTGACGACTCTTGTATGCCTGGTGGTCGAGGGTTGACCTCAATCAACCAGGCAGATGGAGCTTCTTCGACAGGGACCGCACGCTCGACCAGATCGAAGACGCCATCCTTTATCGCATATTCCATGCTTGAGTTCTCCATTCGCGCTTCAAGATGGTAGAACCCATCTTGGAAACCCATGCGTAACAAGCTACGATGAAGGCTGTCCCGAAGAACTGTCAGCTCGCGCTCTGGAAGTTTCGAAGGCAGGACATTGGCTAACTCGATGAAGGTTTTGACATTGCCTTGACCATTTACGTCTGCGCTTTTCGGAAAGTCGTCCGATGCTTCGAAGAACAACAATGCTCCGTTGCAAAGCACGAAGTTGGCATCCAACTCCGGCCCCTCGCAGTACTTTTCGATGACGAACTCTTTGCCGTGTCGGTCGGTGTTGATGGCCTGTACACCTATCTCAAGATGTCCTAGGTTCTCGACCCGACATACGCCCTCTGAGAGGAATCCATTGCAAGGTTTGATGATCAGCGGGAATGGGAGGCGATGTTTCTGCACGATGGCATGCGCTTCCTCGACGCTGGAGGCCCGATAAGCATGATGCCCTTCGAGGATGCTTGTCTTGAACTTGTCGGTGGCAATGTCGTATGCGTCTGGAGAGTACGTCGGCAAAGAAAGCTGAAGGGCGGCCTCGGCAACTGGGGCTTTGTAGTGGTCGCAGAACGTTACAATGCCATCGATTGGATACTGTAGCGAACGGACCGCCTCTACGATACGATTAGGGAAGTCGTCAGGTGGCTGTAGCAGGAGCTCGAAGGAAACGAATTGCTTGCACCAATGGGCATAGCGTGGATCGTCCATCCAGTGTCCAGGGTTGTCGAACACAACTATGTCGATGCCAAGAGCGTAAGCAGCTGTGTATATAGTTTCTCCTGTACCCCCATTTTCTGGCCCTGAGCGTCCACCCTCAACCAAAACCAGAGTCTTACGCTTTGGCTCTTGGGCTGATAGCCAAGGGAACGACAGCCGATTGCGCAACGCGACGTTGAGAGATCTTGACAAGGACTCGTACGTGACCGTGCTAGCAGAGTCGTCCTGCTTGAGAAGCAAGCCTGCAGCGGATGCTGCGAATGCATCCGGAAGCCGCAATTCTTCGATGTTCACACGCTTCCCCGCGTATCGCTGGTGCGGCTGTGCGAAGCTCACAGCTTTCTCCACCAACAAGCAGTTTACAAGGCGTAGGGGGATAATGTCCGATCGTACGATGTATCCAGCGACCGCTGGGATGATCAGACCGAGGACACTTCCGCTCTCGCGTTCAAAGGCTGCCGAGAGGGCGCTTATCACTAGGTGAAGCGCTGCCGTGGACCCAAAGTCCCGCGAATCGATTTCATGGCGCTCACTCGCAGACGACTCGATCGAGAGACGAACGTCCCTGGTGTTCTTCGGCCACACAAAGTCGGGAGATGTTGAGATTTGCCTGTAACAAAGGAACACAGTCTGCCAGGAAGTCGAGCTTGAGGTATCGGTCGTGCTATCATCTCGCCAACTAAACTCGAATCGGGCTTGAGCAGGGTGCCTTGTCAGCAGAATGTCGAGAAAGAGATTGGAACCAGAGAAAATCTACACACCTTCGCTGCTCTCTCCCGCTCTTTGGGCGGTAATGATGTTCGGCATTTTATCACGGACGACGGTCAATGGTATACGTTCTGTTACAAAGACACTGTACTCCACTATACTCTTCGCTTTTGTAACGTCGAAAAAGAATAAAAGCCAGCTGTTGCGAAGAAGTCCTACCTGCCGCAATAAGGAACAACGACGTGAGGACTGACTGATGCCGTAACTTTGGGCCAATATCAGTTTGTTACGATTAGGCTCAGACTTCTTTGGCCACCCAGCGACCGGCTCGTATAAGCTTGTTCCGACGCTTGTTCCGACGCTTGTTCTGACCGCGCGGTCAGTCTTCTACCTTCCCGACGCGGTTGCTGTGCCCCACGGGTGGGGTGTGTGGGTCCGGTCGAATTGCCCAGAACAGCTAAGGAAAATGGCGTGACTTAACTATCGTTTGGGATAGTCAAGGGGCAGGAGGAACGATGTCGAGTTGACTTGGCCGTGGGGCACTCCTTCATCCTTCGGCCGCCCATGACCCCGGAGCAGAATGAAGCTTTAGTGTGAGCATGCGAATTCCCCACACTATATACCTGACACCGTATTTTCGATGCTGAACATGCTGATCAAGCATCCTCCGCTCACCGAGCATTACTGCAAGCAGTGTAAAGTGCATATGTCGCAGCAAGGATCGATGTGAGGATATCGCATGATCACGGTGAGGGTGCACATTACATGATCGGCATCTGCGCATGATCAACGGCGCGATACTAAGTCAATCAGACACAGGCGGAATCACCACAACCAAGTGTTAGGGATCGGATGCAGTCTAGATTAGTAATTAGTGCTGTGAGCACAGGATAGACAGAATAACATTTGTGTATAAGTTAAATATCACTTGTCTAATAACATAGATAACGTATTCCATCATCGAGTGGATCAACTCATCGAGTGGATCAATTTCTGCCAAGCCTACTCACTCCCTCATTAACGCGATATGTCTTAACAACAAAACGCGCAATTATCTAACTAAGAAGGCAGAATTAAGTTTGCCCTTTCTGCCTATAATAACCACGAAATTCAAAGCCTCTAGCGCGCTGCTAAGGCGTTCAGCGTGCCTCCTACAACATTAACTTGCTAATACTACGGAACTACGCATCGTCCAGAAACTCGTAATGGCTGCTATAAGCTTACTGCTACTGAACAGCAAACGATTGTCCAATATGTACTTGACCTTGACTTGCGAGGATTCGCGCCCCGGCTGTGCGAGGTGGCAGATATAGCTGATAAACTGCTGGCTGAACGCAGTAGTGAGCTAGTTAGCAAGCGCTGGGCTGAGCGCTTTGTAGCGCGCTCACCTGAGCTCAAAATGGCCTTCAATCGAGCCAAGGATAGGCAGAGGATACTGCAGGAGGATCCTGCGCTCATTAGCGCGTGGTTTGAGCTAGTAGAGGAGACTAAAGCCAAGTATAGCGTCTATCACAATAACGTACACAACTTTAACAAGACTAGCTTCTAGATAGGCGTTATTAGCTTAATAAAGGTTGTTACAGGTTTAGAGAGACGCGCTTAACCTGCTCTTATTTAGCCTAGCAATTGCAAGTGGGTTACAGTGATCTAGGGTGTCTGCGCTGCTAGGTACGTGATCCTACCCTTCATTATCTACAAGGGACGCGTCCACATCTCTGACTAGTACAAGAAGGCTTTAATACCGCGCAATTAGAAGCTCTTAGTCTCTAAGAATAGCTAGACTAACAACACACTTAGTCTAGAGTAGTTAAAGCACTTTAATGCGCATACAAAGACGCGCTAGGTGGGGGTATACTAACTGCTTATTTTAGACAGCTATAAGAGCCACCTTAACTAGGATTTTAAGGACTACTGCCTTAAGCGCAAGATCCTAACCCTCTGCATGCCTCCCTATTTGTTGCACATCCTCTAGCTGCTTAATGTAGTCTGCTTCTTGCTGCTAAAGCGCAAGTACTCCTAGCACGTTAGAGACTTAGCATACTAACGCGTCTTCTATATTAACAAGGAAGGCTTCCTCCCTGCCTTTAAGGACGCATTTTTTAACATATTTACAAAGGAGAACTATTAAAAGGCCTTTAAGGCAGCAGGGCTAGTCCCTATTAACGCGCAGGTTGTGTTAGATTACCTTAAAGTGCAGCTGCGTACCCTACTACTAGTCCCTCTCCTAGAAACGCTGTAGCAGTTAAAGACTCTAAGCAATAACGTAGATTATCACAAGCCAGCCATATCACCAAACTAGCCATTTTCTCTTAGCATAACTAACATAAGTTACTATAACTACAACTACTTACTATTAAATAGTAACCTAGTATACTATGTGCTTGTATTAGATTTAGAAGATGTTTCTACACCCTCCTAGCATGTTTGTGTGTTATGTCTAGTCTTGCTGCAGTTCCTACAGCGCTAAACAGTTAACTAAGCTCCTAGTTAACTACCTCTACCCTAAGTTAGGCTGGCGGAATGGGTATACTCCAACGTCCTTCGTGGGTACCCCCCAAAACTTTGTCAATAATACATGGATTCTAGC